AAAAAAAAAAAATCATTAAGTGAAAGTGAGCATGAGATGAACTTGTTCTTGCTGAGAGGGAAAGAAAAATCCACATTATACACAAACGAAATTTGAATTCATGGAAATGAACTCCAGAGGAGGGTGGTCAGGTTGATAATCAGGTAATATCCAGTATTATCATTCCAGGTTAAGATGGCCTTGCAGCAGGAAGGATTTGATCGAAAAAAGCGAGGGTACAGAGACATCAACGAGATCGACATCAATATGAACGACCCTCTTTTTACGAAGCAATGGTATCTGGTAAGTATCTCGGCGTTATTTTTAACATTTCTCATCTTGAGACTCCAGATGAAAGATGTATTTCTATTTTCTCATTATTCAGTGGGATGTGAGCCAGCTTCCGACTCCGTGAACCTCTCCGTCCCCTCCAATACACATTGATTTTCTATCACCACCCATGCATATCATCCCTAATCTGCTTTCTTCTGGAACTGCTAAATAGCCATGTTCTCCCAGGGGTCAAAGCTACTACCAGCAGCTGATCAAATTCTAGACTCTGCCAAAGTGCACCAGTGTATGGGTGAAGACTGACAAAAATATGTAAAATTCAAATCAAAGGTCTGGGAGGGGTAATCCAGGGGTCATAGCACGTGGAGTAAGGAGACATAAGGAAGTCTTAGGTGTAAGATCAGATGACTTCACAAGGGACAAGCAAGACTGCTCAGCAAAAGTAGCATCTTGTTAGTGCTTCCTAAAAGCAATGGCAGGCAACCAGTCCTATGGGCTTTACTTGATACAGGATTCAAGGCACTGAAACCCAGGGTGCCTGGTAAAGTGTTTTCTGACTCCCCGACAGTCTATCGTGATCCATTTGGATTGCTGGATTCTGTTTAAAAAGGAATCCATGACTCCAAACCAACCTAAACTGCAGGCCATACTCATAAATGTGAATGAAGCTTTATTTATTTAAGATTAAAAGGTGAAGAGCCAGCAGGGAGTATAGTGGTTAAGGTGCTAGACTCCCACATGGCCGACCACAGTTCGCGTCCCAGACTCAGTGGCTTGAAATGCACGTAGGGTACATGTGCCTGCATGCCCAAAATCCTGAGAGGAGAATGGAGGAGAAGGGATTGCTGTATGGCCACCGCCCCTACCCAGAGTGATTTCTAGCTTTCTATTTCTGTCTCTCCAGTGAGCCCACATGCTCTATAGCAAAAATCTCTTTTAAAATAACAACAACAACAAAAATTAAACAGTGATGAGCAAGACAGAAAGCTAAGTTCTGGACCTGGAGAATTCTACATTATAGTTGTGCATCACAATTTCCCTCTTGGGGCTTCAGAGTTGATCATACCTTATGCTTTTTGGCCCAGAAGTCTGAAAATCCAGTGTGGGTAATTGAATGAGATGATATGTGTTAATCAGGATAGAAATGTTTTTGAAGTAACAACCCCCAAATAACAGTAGTTTAGCAAAATCACAGCTTGTTTCTCACTCTTGCTACAAAACCAATACTTTGCAATCCCTCCAGGATGTAGGCTGTCCAAGCTCCAGCTCAGTGCCATCCTTCCACTGCTTTCCTAAAGCAGCCCAACAAGGAAAGGAGCAGATTGTCCACAGGCTCTGAAAGCTTCGGCCCCGATGCAATAAATGGTGCATGAACTTGCATGTCGTTGGCCAAAACCAGTAACATAGCCATTCTAGCTTTGCAGGGGGTAGAGAGGTGTGGTCTTAACATATGCCCAGGAGAAACAGTAATTTCATAAAGAGCACTAATGAGATGCCCAGTGTTTCAGCAATGCAATAAGGGCCACTGGTCACTGTGGGATTTTTCTGGCACAAACTCTGATTTCAACAATTTTTATTAAATCTATCTTTAAGAAGAGTCAGCACAGGGCAAAAATTTATGAGAAGGTAGTGAACATTTGGAATTTTTTCTTTCTTTCTTTCTTTCTTTTTTCTTTCTTTCTTTCTTTCTTTCTTTCTTTCTTTCTTTCTTTCTTTCTTTCTTTCTTTCTTTCTTTTATTGGAAGAAAGAGATTTCTTTTTCTGCATTAGAACTTGCACTAAAGGGGAGCCAGTTATCTTTAATTCAGTTCAACCAATATTTTTAAGTGGGCTGTAGGTGGCTCAGAGGTTAAGGAGGCTGGATCCCACATCGCCAAGGGGGGATGATTTCTCACTTCCCCTCTCTTCCTTTCTCCCCAGCAAGTACACACGCCCCAAAGTAAAATTTGGTATGGCGCTACTGACATTGCAATGGCAAATAGGACATGCTCCCTCTCACAAATAATATTGCTATTTCTGAGGAAATTATATTCAAATAATAATTTGAGACAATATGTGCTAATTTTTTTTAAAAAAGTGTTATAAACAAAAACACACACAAGGGAATATTTTATTCTAAATCAGGTAAGGTTTCTTGTAATGGCAATTCTAAGGTCTTTATATACAAAGAGTTTAAAGGTAGCAATCTATGTATTAGGTTGTTGGAAAAGTTATGATATTTTTTCTACACAAAAATGCATCATGACTTTACTACAATATTTTTACAAGATGTTAAAATTATGTTAGCAGTCTTACATAAAACAGAAAATATTTATTATCTAAAAATACAAAGGGAGAGGTTATAAGAAATGGATTTAGAGGAGTGGGGATACCCAAAAGTATTGTTTCATGAAAGATGTGGCCTATGAGGTTCGGTCCTGGACCTAACCAGTGGCTGCAGACCATACCAAGGAAACACAACCCCAAACTAATAAGAGTCTCTGCTTTGAAATTTCTGTTCCAGATCAATACCGGCCAGGCTGATGGCACTCCTGGCCTTGATTTGAATGTGGCAGAAGCCTGGGAGCTGGGATACACAGGGAAAGGTGTGACCATCGGAATCATGGATGACGGTGAGTGTTTCAAAACCTTCATATCATTTGGAAGCAAATGCGTCATTGTGTGCCTTCAGAATGGTCCATTGATTAGGAAGCAGATACTGGGACTAAGACCTATGCTACATATCTTCATCTCCCTCCATATTACTGGTCCTCAAAACTGAGGATGCCCTTAGCAAATATTTGCTGAATTTGGGGACAAGCGATGGCACAGTGGTAACACAGCCAGACCCACATGGAAATGATCCTGGTTTCTCCCTCCCGGTCTTCCCTGAGTACACTGGGTATACATACAGGCCCATGATCTTGTCCAACTGAGACTGCAGGTGGATTGGGTTGGGAAGACCCTTGTGGGGGTGCCTATCTCTCTGCCTTTCATAGGAGAAATAAACTGATATGTGTGTGTGTGTGTGTGTGTGTGTGTATCTATATATACACATCTCCAGCCCTATAGTACTGTACATTGGGAGATGGATCTCACATGGCCAATTAGGGCTCAGACCCCAGGCCCAGCAGCTTGAAAAGCACACCAGGCATGCGTATATGCCCTGACAAGGTGTAGAAAGGGAGGAAAAAGAATTGCAACATAGCATGTCCTATTGAGAGGATGCTTTCTCTTTCTCTCTCTCTCCCTCTCCCTCCCTCCCTCCCTCTCCCTCTCTCTCTCCCCCCCCCTTTCTCTGGTGAGCATGCACACCCTCTGGCAATTAAAAGAAGTTGCTGAGTTAATAAATAAAAAGCTAAGCAAATGACCAAATGAAAGCTGTCATTCAACTGTCATCTCTTATCGGACTACCACTTACAAACTTACCTCAAAGCCTATTTATATTGGGAACCAGCAGTTAGCGTAATGGCTATGTCGCTGGACTCCCACATAGTCGACCGCAGTTCGCGTCCCGGACCCGGTGGCTTAAAACTCACGCCGGGTGCATGCGCATGTGTGCCCAAGATCCCGAGAGGAGAATGGAGGAGAAGGGATTGCAGCGTGACCGTCCCTCTTTGGGGGTAATTTCTCATTTTCTGTCTCTATGTCTCTCTCTGTCTGTCTGGCGAGTACATGCACCCTATAGCAAAAAATCTCTAAAAAAAAACCAAACAAACAAACAAACAAAAAGCTTATTTATATTTACCATCTAGTTCCCTAGATTCACACTATCTAATGCAGTGGCTCTTACCTGTATGTAGCTATTTAGATTTTAATTAATTAGGGCTAAGTGAAATTTAAAATTCCTCCATCACACTCCTTTCACTTCAAGTTCTTGATAAGGTTCACATAGAGGTAGCGGCTGCTGAAATTCTGTTCAGTTCCGTTTCCATCATCACAGGAAGTTTCAGTAGACAGTGTGGCTCCACATCCATGAAACTGCTTTTTGGTAACTGGATTAGGGTGTAGGGACATTTGACTTGATTGCTACTTTCAGGATGAACCCTTGTAAAGCAGTCTTTGAAGACCTTTACTGAAAACATCCCTTGTATGCCTACCAGACAAAGATTTAGCAAGGCTTTATTTCATATCGTTTAGAAACTTTGTTTTCTATACGATGAAAACCAATGGGTTTGATGAAATACTGTTTTTCCCAACGACACAAGTCCTTGACTCAGCTGAGATACTGAGTCACAGCCCTGTGGTCCTGTCACTGGAGTGTGCTGCCACCCTGCATCAGTCCCAAGGATCCCCAGTAAGAAGCGTGCTGTGCATTGTCAGTCTAATTACATACAGAGCCTGAACAGAGGGGAACAATGGAACCTTTACCTTCTGAAGATCCTCAAAGAACACTCTGTTCTCTACAGCAACCCTTTGAAGCAGAATTGATGGGGAAAACAAAGGAAACCAGCATGCTTAAAATCTGCATTGTCTTTGTGTGGGCTCATTAAATAGCAACATAAAAACAATGTCTCTATGTCTCTCTCTGTCTGTCTGGCGAGTACATGCACCCTATAGCAAAAAATCTCTAAAAAAAAACCAAACAAACAAACAAACAAAAAGCTTATTTATATTTACCATCTAGTTCCCTAGATTCACACTATCTAATGCAGTGGCTCTTACCTGTATGTAGCTATTTAGATTTTAATTAATTAGGGCTAAGTGAAATTTAAAATTCCTCCATCACACTCCTTTCACTTCAAGTTCTTGATAAGGTTCACATAGAGGTAGCGGCTGCTGAAATTCTGTTCAGTTCCGTTTCCATCATCACAGGAAGTTTCAGTAGACAGTGTGGCTCCACATCCATGAAACTGCTTTTTGGTAACTGGATTAGGGTGTAGGGACATTTGACTTGATTGCTACTTTCAGGATGAACCCTTGTAAAGCAGTCTTTGAAGACCTTTACTGAAAACATCCCTTGTATGCCTACCAGACAAAGATTTAGCAAGGCTTTATTTCATATCGTTTAGAAACTTTGTTTTCTATACGATGAAAACCAATGGGTTTGATGAAATACTGTTTTTCCCAACGACACAAGTCCTTGACTCAGCTGAGATACTGAGTCACAGCCCTGTGGTCCTGTCACTGGAGTGTGCTGCCACCCTGCATCAGTCCCAAGGATCCCCAGTAAGAAGCGTGCTGTGCATTGTCAGTCTAATTACATACAGAGCCTGAACAGAGGGGAACAATGGAACCTTTACCTTCTGAAGATCCTCAAAGAACACTCTGTTCTCTACAGCAACCCTTTGAAGCAGAATTGATGGGGAAAACAAAGGAAACCAGCATGCTTAAAATCTGCATTGTCTTTGTGTGGGCTCATTAAATAGCAACATAAAAACAATGCCTCAGTGTTTACTGATGTGTGAGACATTTTGAAGTGGATCTAAAAGCTTTATCCAGTGGCCACGGGCTTTCACATGAAGAAAAGAGCTCTGTGTAAGAGTGCCTATGGAGCGCTGTCAGGACCTGCTGACTTCCTTCCTAATGCTTTGGCTTGAAAATCTTTCCAAAGAGGTTGAGACCAGTTCAGCCAGGAAAAATATGCATGCAGATTTAGGGGAAAAACTACCTAAGATATATTGTGATGACTACTTATAACAACACACCTGCAAGGTATGCCCTGCTAGGGCTCAGAGAATCACTCTTAAATGTGGCACTACAGTGACAACATGTGCACGCTACTCTTAGGAAACTTCCCACAGCATTGATGAGTCCCATTTCATATTTCCTCAACTATAGCCCCTTGACCAACTCTATAGCCACCCAAAGGCAGTAAAGAAGAAGACCCTTAACTCTTCCCACATTGAAAGATCAAGCTCTTTAGAAAGTCCCAACAGAATTTCTTGCTTGATCTTACTTCTTCTGTTGATTAGTGGCATTTGGATACCCAATTTGGGGATGAACTTTTTCCCCCCAATTAAAACTCCTGACTGCTCTTATTTACTTTATCTAATGCTGCAGAACCATCCACCTCAATATTCAGTGACTTAAACAAAATAGAGTGTTATTATCTGTCACTGTTGTGTGGGTTGATGGGCTCACCTGGACAGTTCTGCTGCTAGACTCCCATGTGCTTAGAGCCAGAAGGCAGCTTGGGCTGGAGTCAACCAGAGTCTCAACTGGAATACTGAATGGTTCAACCTCTCGCTCTCTCCATGCAGTCCCTAGCCTGTTCTCTCCACATGGTGTCCCAAGCAAGGTAACTGGATTTCTCATAGGTAACTCAGGACTCCTCAGAGCAAGTGTTCCAAAGAGAGGAAGGCCATTCTGCTGATCACACCCTAGTTAATTTCTACGAGACACACTCTCCCTCATTCTTTACAACCTGGGAATGTAGAGAAATTTCCCATTCTTTAAGTTCTGGATTACCTTAAATTATAAATTTTATATTTAATTCATTTCTCTCTTCTTGCACTTAACTATAAGCAATCCAGAGAAGCCGCATGCTACATTCTTAACATTTTGCTTAGAGATTTCTACTACCAGATATCCTCAATCATTGCTTTTATGTTTTGCCTTTTATAAAGAACTAGAACATGGACATAATTCAGCCAAGTTTTTTGCTTCTCTGTAACAAGGATGCCCTTTCTTCCAGTTTCCAATACATTATTTTTCATATCCATCTGAGACCTCCTAAGAATTGCCTTTACCGTCCATTTTTCCACCACCATTCTGTTCACAACCACTTAGATTACCTCTAAGAAGACTCATTCTACAGCTCTCTTTTTCTGCACTCTCACTAGAATCACCCTTAATACCCTGGTAATATAGGATTTTTCCAACATTCACTTCTGAACTCTTTCCACCTCTCCTCATCACCCAATTCCTAACCCACTTCCACATTTTCAGATCTTCATAACAGCAGCACAGTCTCAGTATACATGCAGTGAAGGTGCCAGCTATGGGAGGAACTTAATGACATTTCTATCTTTTAAGTACTGCATTCCAGTTTAGTAATTAAATGCACCAGATGCTGGGCTAAGAATGGCATATGCATTAGTTTCTTTCATCCCTACACTGTTCTCCTCTCCAGTTGGTCAAGAAGAAAGGAAGCACAGAGGCTAAACAACTTACCCAAAGTCTTAAACCAGTTATCAGGGTTGTTGAGAATCAAACTCTGGTCTTTAATTCCAAAAAATACACTCATTTGTCATGCTAGATAATGTCAGGCACCTGTCCTGTGTCTCTCAGGGCTGGTTGCTGAGGTGTAACTACTGTAGAGATTATATGGATCTGAAGATTTGGATAAGAGTTTTTCGATTGCCCTTGAAGTTCTACAGTGCTTTCTGAGGTCCAAGTGTCAGATGGAACTCAGCAGTGCTCATGGACCATAATTCTACCCCTGGAACAACTACCCAACAAGACAGGCCCAGATTCAGGAGAAAGCACAGGACTCCAGCTGGGAGACCAGAGGCCTTGGGCTTCTTCGAAAGCCACTTTCTAAAGAGACAAACATCAACTTTTGCAAGATCTCACTGAAAACAATTCACCCTGTGTTTCACAGCCTTTCTCGCCCAGCTGTGTTGGTTATATTATAACCATGCCAGAGTATGCTCTCCTAATCCATTGCTGTCTGTGCCCTGTTAAATAATAATCACTTTTCCTCCCCAGGGCCAGTTTCTTTTCCAAAGAAAGGCCAGCTGATGCTTTGGAAATGTCAGGATTTCTACAAATCTCTTTTAGATCACTGCCCTCATGAGCCATCCATCTTGCAGTCACTAAACCCCTTAGTGCTGACATTTTATGTCAGAAGTGTTTTCCTTCTGCCCCAAACTCTAATTGGCTTCGCTCCTCTGAAGTGTGCCTAGGGACAGCTGTCTCTCCACTCAGGCAGTGCAGCCCAGCTTTACATGGGAAGGAAAATACAAGGCTGAGGCTTGGGCATGGGCGCTCAGCCAATAAAAAGTGTCCCGGAGCCAACCCTGTAAGGAAGGTGATTTCTTAAGCAGCATGTCTGAGGATACAGAGGCAGGTATTAACCTTTGGTTCCTCTGTTGTTTTTTCACAGGGATTGACTATCTCCACCCAGACCTGGCCTCCAACTATGTAAGTACCGGAGTAGGAAAACAAGCATCTTAAGTGTTCTGGTGCCCTTGGTTATGAGGAACATCATGTGTATGTACACACATGCATACACAGTCACAGGTACATACACGTGTGTGTGTGCTCACACACATGCATACAAGGATGCATGCACACATGCACTCACATACCCACATGTGTGCACATAGGAACCCATGCACAGGCTCACACACACATACACATATGCCAAAACTGCCCATCTTGTTAGACCTGCAGCTCAGGCCAAAGGCAAAGAGACGAGGCTTGGGAGCTGGCAGCAGGCAAAGGTGGTAGCTTTGTGAAAAGGAAAGAAAGAAACCTGAAGTCGGAAAAAACAGAATGCCAAGAAAATAGGTATAGGGAGAGACAAAGAAGAAAGAGACTTGGCAGGGCTTGAATCAACTCTGGCTGATGATGCTGAATTGAAGGGGAGAAATGAGCCATTTGGGTTCTTTCTGGACAAACCAAAGGCAAAATGCCAAGGACTTCAGCAACTGACATTACAGCCATAGCTTTATGAAAGTAAGAGCATCATCATTTTGGTTATTTTTGTTGCTTATGATTGCTCTATGTTGACTTTCCCTATTCCCTACATCCCTTTCATCTACTATCCCTTGACAAATGAGGACTGATACCAGAAGCACAGGGAACGCTACTGGACTGGAACTATATTCAGATTTTTGACTCTCAAGTACATGCTGCTTTTCTGATGAAACCACATAAACCTTTAAACATAATCAATCACTTCATGTTAACCCCAGGGAGAACAGTATTCAAGCATCAGTGTGTTCATTTAAAATTACTCATTTGTTACCAAGCTATAATTCTGTAACCTCCAAATATAGGTATTAAAAATGTTATTTTTATGGCTGAAGAGACTCATATGTAGGAACACAAGGGCTTAAACAGGAGAAAGGATGGTTAACAGGCAAAAGTATTTGCGGATAACATTCTGAGTCATTGACCCTGGAAGGTGTGTGTATCTGTTGCAAGGAGAAAATGAGGAGTTCCCACCAGGAAGCAGAGCACATAGGTTTTTGTATTTACTGCATGGGTCTTATCAACCTAGAAGAGTAAAAATTTAGCTGAACAGCTTTCTTTTTAATATTTTTTTTAATGCTAAAGACTAGATGTTGACAATCTTTGAAGCTGACTCATATGAGAAGGTTCTAGATTCATGTCTGGAAACATTCCTAAGTGTTCCCAGCAAGTGTGTGCTCGTGATCAGGGCCAGCTGTAGCTGGGAGTACATGGCAAAAATCAAGACCCTGAGGGGAGTGCTATCTCTTCTCTCTTGCTTATGGAAGGAATGAATACAACTTTAGAAATCAAACATTGAGAGGCTGGCAGTTGGCATGGTGGTTAAGGGCACTGGATTCCTACATAGTCGACCACAGTTCGAGTCTTGGACCTACCAGCTTGGCTTTCTTCCTCTCTTCCCCCCTCTCTCTGCCTCTCCCTCTCTGCCTGTCTCTCTCTCTCTGGTCAAATTAAAAAATAATAGTAACAAATGGAATTAAATAAATAATTTTTAAATAAATAAAATAAAAATCAAATATTGAATCACTGGCACAGCCAGTATGGCTCCAATGAGAAGTTAGAGATATCACATTAAAGCTTTGTGTTGTCTGTGCTGAGGACTCAAGTCTGTAGAGAAGACCATTCATTGCCTACAGGTTGTAGTGTCTGCCCAGCTGTCCCAGCACATGCAGAAGCATGGGGATATCCCACAGCTCTTTTTATCTCCAGGATCTGGTGCCTCACAGAGCACATTAGGATTCTGGTTGCTTTCAACAATCAGCATTACTGGTCTTGCCACTTGGAGCACTGTGAGGTGGTGTGGCTACCTGTGGGTTGGAAGGCTAAGGATACGGGATCTCCCCACTATGCACATGGCCATAGATATGAAGACCAACCTCAGCCTCCTTTCCTTCTGCTCACCCAGTTTAGGTATGTCCCGGCAGGCCAATATTAAAAAGAAGTACTAATTCATGTGGGAAAAAGAAATCCCCCTGGGGCTTCCCCAGTGATACAGTGGTTCAGCCAGTACAGTGCTGGTGGACAGTGTAGATTCATCAGGCAGAAATCCTTATCTGAAATTGGGAATTGAAGCATCCAAATTGAGAGGTGCCGGCTGCCCTCTGATATTCAAGATGAGACAATATACCAGAAGAACTCTATGGATTCTATAATTGTCACACCTTTCTTTGTTTCTCTTCCAGATCCATTTCTTTCTAATTGAAAAAATAAATACATATTCTTTGTAGAAAATTTAGAAAAGCATGAAACACATTGAAAACTAGCCAAAATATTACCATTCTTAATATTTTGGATTTTTGTTTCTATGTGCACAGTTTTAATGAAATTGGACCATTGTCATTCCCCCACCTATCTGATATTTCATGACCATTTTTATATGTTTAAAAATTCTTTGGCACATGATTTTTAAAACTACATAGTACTAGCTTCTGCTCTAACTTAAACATTTCAATGCCAGTTTTTGAATAGTTAGGTTATTCCCAGTGGGCATGTTATAATAAGAGGAAATACAATGGTGATATGGGTGATACAGAGACTCAAAACCATAACCTGCTAGGGGTTGTTGAGAAAACTAGCAACACTTTTCCTGGAAAAATAAAATATAAGGAGCTCATTAAGTATGTTTTTAAATATTTAAAATTCTCTTTGTAGGATGATGCATTCAACTTGTTCATTAATTTCTCCTAAGAAAATGTCCAATGGACCAGCAGCTGGCATGGTGGTTAGGGGCCCTGGACTTCCACATGGTTGACCATGGTTCAGGTCCTGGACCTGGCGACTAGCTCTCTCTCTCTCTCTCTCTTTCTTGCTCTATCCCTCTCTGGTCAAATTAAAATAAATGATTAAAGTTAATAAAAAAATAAAATGTGCATCGATGGGTAGTAACTGTGGTAACTGGAAAGAAGATTTCACTTTAGTGAAAGGAAGAACTGTCTAGTTAAGGTTAATTTTTCAAAAAGGAAGTAATGAGTTCATATCTGAAAATGTTCAAGAAGAGGGTTGATGGCCATTTGGTGGGGATGTTGTTGAAGACATGACAATATCTATACTTTGTTTACATTTTAAAAAGTGTTAAAATAATATGCAAAACATTTAACAATTGAAAAGAAAATACAATTTCTGTGCAAAAATGCACATCTTGGTAACTTGCATCTAGAGCAAGGTCTGAGTCTTCAACATTTATTAAACATCTGGGACCTTTCAAAGAAAGTATATACACACCAAAAGGCTTCAAAACATTTATGAAAAATGAAATAAAAGCAAAAATTTTGGTGCAAAAATTGTGAAATCCATGCATACCTTTTTCCATAATGTATGTTTTCCGTAAAGCCCTTGAAGAGTTCTTGTATACACAAAGCTGTGAAATTTTTCTACTTCTCTGGGACAGGTGAGAAAACTAAAGATTCAAATATCTCATTCTTAATTCCTCAGTAGAGAGCCTAAACTGACTGGTTTGTACCAGCCATGGCCTCTCTCGCTAGATACAGAGTAAGAGTGACAACTTTAAAATGACTAACCACATTTATCTCCTTTATTTTTAATTAAAAATTTTACACTATCATTAACAGAATGAGGAAGGCAAGTGGAATAGACCTGCCTAGGAGAGCTATAAAATCCGTGAATAGTAATGGCCTCGAAAATTGTTTGAGCAAAGGATTAACAGGCAGCTTCACACCTTGTTAAGTAACTTAATTGCTGGGATGTGATAGCTAGCCCAGTGCCCTTCTAGGGAAAAATACTTTGGGGAGGTCTTTGTTTAGATTTCCATAGAATAGGCAGAACCTACGAGGAGTTTTGAGTTCAAGTAGTTTATACAGGAGGTATCTTGGGGGACATCCAAGGACTACCCACTAAGACCAAATTCTAAAACATAATTTTAGGGGACAACCATTATCCAAACTATAATAGGAGTTGATCCCAGGAAGTAGAGGTAAAGAAGATGAGAATAAGACAGGGAAAGGAAGGCAGTCAATATAAGGTTACTTATTATCAAATAAGTAACCACTGTGGGTGATTGGCACTTAATCCCACTAGGAAACTCTGGGAGATGGTGTAGAATGTATGTGTCAGAATTTTCTCCCCCGGGATGGATCTCCAGGGAAGCTGAGGTATTTATACACCAATTTTATCAGTCATTGGTTGAGAGCTGGTCCCAGGGGATCTTAACATCCAAGAGCTTCTCCCTTCCCCACAGCCTAGGGGAAAGCCTTTGGCAAGAGACATGGGTACAGAAAGCCTGAACTCACCGGGACGAGAGGTGTCAGGCCAAAGGTAGATGTAGCAATGCCTGCCACAGAGAAGATGCCTTAGAAGTTCATGAAAGGTTAAAATAAACGGAAATGTTCTACTGGAAAAACTCCTCCTTGTTACTGTTTCATTTTCAGTGAGACGTGAAATTCTACGCTAGATTCTTCAGAAAAATTTCTTTATCATCAAACTGGACAAAATGTTACCCAAATCAGAATTAATTTCTAAGCTAGATTATCTTCCATATTAAAAGAGAAGGATTAGAGTATGCTGATAATTCAGTGTTCTTTCCATGAAGCTGAGAATTAAAATACTTTGAAAACGGCAAATCAATATATAAATGTAACTCAATAGTGTTAATTTAATTCAACAAATCTACATCAAGCCTGTTGAGCATAGAAACAAAGCATAATGATAGCCACTTTTATTATTATTCTATTGTTCAGTGATTGAATTTAATCTGAGGTATCTAGTCCCACTGGTAAATGCTCACTATTCCAAATAATTAAAATCTTCTTTTCCCACCTCAGTAGTAACAACACGAAGTGAAATATTGGCCAAGAGACTATTCTAGATCAAGTCAAAATTAGAGCCCCCTGCATCTGTCTTCTCAATATTAATGATTGAGATACTTTTTCTAATTCAGTGCAATCGCTGTGTATTGAGCTTCCTCTGTGTAAGCCCCAGAGGAAGAGGCA